CGACGCCGCACCTCGGCGGCGGCGGACTCGCACCACGGCCACGGCGGCCACGACGGTGCGCTGCGCAAGGTGCTGGGCCGTGTGCGCCGGCTGAATGAAAAGGTGCGCCTGTTTGAGCAGGGCTTCATCGACCCGCAGGGCCTGCCCGGCCGGACGTGGTACAAGCACCTGGGCGTCGCGCCGGGCCGCTGGCTGGGCTACGGCGCCACGACGCTGCCCGGCCTGACCGAGTCCATCACCCTCGATGGCGGCAGGGGCGCGCAGCACGAGGCCGACCGCCTGGCCAAGCACCTCGAGGCCATGGCTCGCCGGCTCCAGCGTCACTGATGGGGTCGAAGCAGAGCAGTGTGGCGCAGCGAAGCGCAGATCCGCCTCCTCTGCGCTGTCCGTTGTTGGAGTGACGGAGCGCGGTAGCAGCAGCGGTACGCAGTGCAGCGCAACGTAGGTAGCGTGGCGTAGCGTAGCGTAGCGTAGCGCCACGGTAGACGTCGCGCGTCGGACTCAGCGGAACCACCAATTGACGCTGACGCTCGTCTCGAGGCTAGCGACGCAGTGGAACCAGCCTTGAGGGATAAAGACGGCATCGCCGGGTCCGACGTCGACGACGGCGGTGTGGGTTGCGCCGAGTGCCTTTTCGACGAGGGGAAAGAGGCGGTGCATGTCGTCTGCCCCGTCGGTGCGGAGGGGACGTTCGGAGTGGATGACTGAGGTGTTTTGCTGCGGTCCCTCTTTGAAGAGGTAGAGGCTGGAGTGGGCCGAGGGCGGAAAGACGTGGATGCGTTTGCGGCCCACGATCTGGACAAAGAGGTTGTGGTACGGGTCTCGGTGGATTGGCGTGAAGGTGCACCCGGGCCCGATCCAGAGGTTGGATCGCCACTGCTCGCGGTCGCCCCTCGGTCCTGCACGCGTGTGAGGGAGAGGTGGTGCGTCCGAGGAGAGAGAGGGGGAGAGGGAGAGGAGATCGTACTGCGCCATGTACCCCACCACTCCTGGATCCCCCTGCCCCGACCCCGACCCCGACCCCGACCCCGCCGACGAGGAGGAGGGAGAAGGGGAAGGGGAAGAGGACCAGGGAATGGATTGGGAGATGAAGGCATCGAGGAACAGGCCAAAGGGGAGCGAGATCCTGTCCCACCCGCCCCTCGTCGTCGTCGCTCCCTCCTCACGGGGGGCATTGTATCCCAATCCAGGTCGGGACAGTTCGACGGGAACGACGAGATCGGCCGTATCCCGTCTCTTCATGCCGCGCAACGTCTCGATCCCCCTCTCGTCCCGATGCGACCACGAGGAGAGGGCGCGCCATACCGGCCGTGCATCCCGCTCTCCTCCTGCCCCGTCGCCGTCGGTGCAATCGGGACCGCGGAGGAACGAGGGAAAGAACCCGGGTCGCTGCGCCAGCTGGTACCCCTCGACGAAGGCGCGTGGCGTGATCCCGCGTCCCCGTCCGACGTGCGCGACGAGCGGCTTGGCTAGTGACTTGACCGCCATTCTCGACGGGCGTGTGGCCTTGTGGCGTGCCCCGTGGTCGTGCTGGTGGCGGAAGTGGTCGTGGCGACGAGTGGGTGGGTGGGTGGTGGTGGTGCCGGTGGTGGTGGTGGTGGAAAGAGACAAACCGCCGAGGGTCCAGCTGCAAAAAGGTGGTCAGTGCGCCTTGTCGGGCGACGCCGGACATCCTTCCAAGCCATCCTTCCACACTCGCCACCTCTTGCACTCGATCAAACCGCCTTTCCTTCCCCTTCCGCTCGACATCGACCCAACCACAGCCCAACAACGTCACCGCTCTGGCCATCGAGGCTGTACTTCGCGACTGTCTACACTCTAAAGAGGGAGGCTGGCAGGGGAGGCCGATGAGAACGTGGAGTGGCAGCGCATCGTGCAAGAGGTGCGACTGCGTTGCGTCGCAATGCGATGCGATCCAGTCGTGGCCTCTCGGGTCATCGTCATCTTCTTCCTTGGCGGCCAGGAGTCGACGTGGGCACGACGGAGCCGGTGCGACCCCGTCTCGCGGTCTCGGGTCGACTGGCTCGCCATCGCCCCTCTTCTCTGACCAACCTCCTTGCTCTTTGCTGAAAGTGAGAGAGAGCATGCTGATGGATCCAGTCGTGACCACCCCCGTCGCGCTCACTCTGCGCCGACCGACGTCCCTCCGCCGCGTCACAGCGCGTAGTCAACGGGAGGCGGACAAGGAGGACAGGTTGCACGGTATGCATTGTGTCCAGTCGGGGCGGCCTTCCCTTCACTTTTACATAATGGTACACTCGCCGTTGTCGCCGCCAAAGCCCGGGATGTTTTCCAGCTCGGCGGGCATCTCGCCCACAATCTGCTGCGGCGGCGATCCGCAATCCTGCATCTGCGAGAGGCGGGGGGAAAGGAGGAGCATTGCAGATCGAGCGGGCGGGCGGGTCACATGTCAGACGACGGATGGCTCCCGGGGGTAGCCGTGCAATGATTCGTGCGCCGAACCGAAGCTCACCTGGTTCATGAGGTCCTGGATGCGGGCCGTCGTGTCCCTGTTCTTGGCGTCGTACTTGGGGTCCTCAAAGATGGCCACAATCTCGCCGACATACCTCTGCTGGGCCTGGTAGCGCGCGCGGTCGTCTGGCGAGTCGCCCTTGGAGTCGGGCCCGTCGAGGTAGGCGGGGTACTTGTCGCGGAGCTCCTTGAGGGGCTCGTAGAGGATCTCCTTGCTCATGAGCTCGTCCATCATGCCCTCGAGCATCTTGGCGAGCTCCGGGTTGTCCATGCCGTCGTCGCCGTCGCCGCCGGCGCCGGCGCCGAGGGCGGCGAGCAGCTTGGCCATGTCGTCGCCGCCTGCGCCGCCGAGCGCGGCAAAGGGGTCGGCGCCGGCGCTGCTCGAGGATGCCGTGGCCGAGGCGTCCGACTGCTTGAGCCGGTCCATGGTGGCCTTGAGCGCGTCGTTGAAGTTGGCGGGCGGCTGCTGCGTGCCAGTCTGTTGGGCTGTCGATGAGGATGGCCCGGCTGCTGCTGGTGCTGACGGTGGTGCTGCCGAGGGCTGGGAGAAGCCGGCCATCATCTGCTCAAACTGCTTCATGAGCTCCTCTTCGCTGAACTGCGGGTCTTGTGCGCCTGTTGCGGATGCAGAGCCCGCCTTGGCTGCTCCGGATGCCGATGGGTTTGCCTGTCCGAGCTCCTTCATGAGGGCCTCCATGCCCTGGGCGAGCTCCTTTGCAAAGTCCTGCGAGAGGATGTCGTCGAGGCCGTCTGCATCGAGCTCGTCGGTCTCGCCTTGCGCCGCGAGGGGTGCTGTCGCCGACGACGAGGACGGGTTGGCGTCCGAGGGCGGGGGCGGAGGCTGCGACTTGGGTGGGCCGGCCGTGGCGGACGTCGAGGGCTGCGGCTTGTTGAACTCGTCGAGGACGTCTGCCGGGCGTGGTGGCGAGGCATGAGATTGGCAGGAAAAAGTCAGCGCGACGGTCGACTCGCTCGGTTTGCGGGACCGAGAGCAGCACTCACCATCGAGGTCGTCGAGGTCGTCTTGGTCGTCGTCGGCAGCGGCAGCGGCAGCGGCGGCGGCGGCGGGAGCAGCAGCAGTGTGGTGGCCCCGGGCAGCCTGTGGTTGCTGCTGGGCCTGCTTTTGTGCGGGGTCAGTCGACGACATGATGCTGGCTGGGCGGTGATGGTGGTGATAGCGGTGATGGCGGTGATGGTGGTGATGGTGGTGATGGTGGTGATGGTGGCAGTGACTTTGTGATGGCCGGTGGTGCCGCAGAGGCCGAGGATGGGTCGAGTGTTGGGGTCTGGCTGGTGCTGGCGGCTAACAAGCCCGAGAGCCGGCTAGGGCGTCGAGAGTTGGGCCGAGCCAAAGAGAGAGAGAGAGGGAGCCAGAGGGCCAAGAGGCGCGCGCAAAAGGGTGGCCCGCCCGCCTGCCTGCTCTGCCCCCCCCCTTCCGATTCACGATTGGCCAAGCGGGCGGACGGCGTGAAAGGGACTGCACCCAAGCCGGCACCCGATTCCTTGATCCCTGCCCTGGCCGCCTTTGACCGACTTCCGAGGCGCTTGTGGTTGGCAGGGCGGCCAGGGCCGACGCCGCGCTTTCCGGCCAGCCACACGCCCAGCCGCACGCCCAGCCGCACGCGCCTAGGCCCGCCGGCTCATGACGCACCGACGCGCGCCAGCTGGTCGCCGTCCTGATCGCCGTCCGAGATGGCGTCCACTCACTCCACTCTCTTAGTCGGCTTCGGCGTGGGCAAGCCTGGCCATGGCCCTGCAGCCCCCATCATCCGTCAGACCAGACCGGCGACTCAGCACGCCTGCCAGGCAGGATGCTGTCAGAGGGGCAGCTGGCCCTCCTCGGTCCCCTCTTCGGCCTTCTTGACCCAAGCCTAGCCTCTTGAGACAGGATTTTCGGCTTCGCTGCCACCACCACCACCATCAACTTGACCCCCCTCTCTCCCTTCCTGACAGCTGCACCCTACCGCCGCCGCCATGTCGTCTCCCTTTACCTGCAAGTGGGGTGAGTAGCCCCGTTCCTTGCTCCGTCGCGCGGTCCAGTCCATCGCTCGGCCCCGTCCTCGTCCTGACCGCACACGCTCCTCGTCGTTCCCCGCCTTGTCCCCTCCGCGCGCGCCGCAGGCATCCTCGCCACGGGCGGCATCGCAGCCACGTTTACAAAGGACCTCCTCGTCGATCCCTCGACGCGCAACGTCTCGGACGTCAGCCACCAGGTGGTCGCCGCCGCCTCGTCGACGTCGGCCGAGCGCGCGCGCCACTTCCTCGCCGACGTCGGCGCCGACCCCGCCCGCTGCCGCGCCTATGGCAGCTACGAGGAGCTGGTGCGCGACCCCGAGATCGACATCATCTACGTCGCCACGCCGCACTCGCACCACTACGAAAACACGCTCCTCTGCCTCGAGGCGGGCAAGAACGTGTGCTGCGAAAAGCCCTTTACCATCAACGCCAAGCAGGCGGCCCACCTGGCCAAGGTGGCCCGGCAGCGCGGCCTCTTCCTCATGGAGGCCGTCTGGATCCGCTTCTTCCCCGTCGTCGTCGAGATCCAGCGCCTGCTCCACCACGACCGCGTGCTCGGCAAGATCCACCGCGTCTTTAGCGACCTCAGCATCGCCTTCAAGCCGGATCCAAACCACCGCCTCTTCAACCCAGACCTCGGCGGCGGCGCCCTCCTCGACCTCGGCATCTACGCCCTCACCTGGCAGATGCTCGTCCTCTACCAGCACCCGGACAACGCCCGCGCCCAACCGCGCGTGCACGGCAGCATCGTAAAGACTCCGCTGACGGGCGTCGACGAGCTCACCACCGTCGCCCTCAACTTTGACCAGATGGGAGCGCAGGGCATCGCCACCACCAACATGACGGTCAAGAGCTCGCCGCACTATGTCGTCCTCGTCCAGGGCGAGAAGGGAGAGCTGTCGGTCCCATTCCCCACCTACCGCCCCGAATCTTACACTCTGCGGCTGAGGGACGCCGAGGGCGAGCTGGGCGAGCCGCAGACCAAGACGTTCCCCATTCCCGGACACGGGTGAGTGGCTAGCTGTACCGCGGCGGTGCGGCGCCTGTGCTCGCGGAACCACGTCCACGTCAGGCTGACCTGTGCGACCCCCACTCCCTCCCTCCCTTCCTCTCGACCCATCCGACCGACCGACCGACCGACTGACCGACCGACCGACCGACCGACTGACCGACGGATCAGCATGTTCTGGGAGGCCGATGCGTGCGCCCGAGCGCTGCGCGACGGCAAAAACGAGGCCGACCGATGCACCCTCGACGAGTCGCTCCTGACCATGGCCATCATGGACGAGGTGCGCTACTCGAACGACTTCCGCTACCCCGACTCGATCGAATCGGTCCGCGACGACGCCTAGACAGACCTCCGTCCGTGCGACGCAGAAAACCCCTCTCCTGTCATCCACCGGTGGGGGGGGGGGGGCGGGGGGGGCCGAGGAGAGAGTGACGAGTGGTCGGTACGGTTAACGGAGGACGTACGGAAACGGGACGGACGGCGTACGTCCGGGTACGGTACGGCCGAACCGAAACCGGTCCG